AGACAGTCTTGAGGATAGTTAGGTGGCACCACAGTTCACAGAGCACTTGGCCTGAAGTCAGGAAGACTCATCTTCATGAGTTCAAATCTGGCCTCAGACACTTTCTAGCTGTATGACCTTGGGCAAGTCACTTAACCCTGCTTGCCGCAGTTTCGTTATCTGTGAAATGATCTGGAGAAAGAAATGGCAAACCACTCCAGTGTCTCTGCCAAGAAAACCCCAGACGGGGTCACAGAGAGTCAGACACAACTGAAACAATTGAACAGAGTTGAACGTATCATTAGAGGTCTTCTGTTCTAATTTTCCATATGAAGAAACTAAAGTACAAGAACTTTGATAATAATAATAATAACACATTTACATAATACTTTACAGTTTGTTAAGTACTCTAGATATACTAGCTCATCTGATCCTCACAATAACCCTTTAAGGCAGATGCTATCATTATCTCCATTTTATAGATGAGGAAACTGAGGCAGACAGAGGTTAAGTGACTTGCCCAGGGTCATATAGCTAGTGAAGTGTCTGAGACAGGATTCAAACTCAGGTCTTCCTGACTCGAACACCAGTGCTCTTTCCACTGTACCAACAAGTCTCCTAAGCGGAAACTTGCTAATTTATTAACCAATTAGAGGCAAAGTAAGGATTAGATCTCAATTCTCCTAACTCTCAAGCCCCACACTATTTCCACTGCAACCATGTTGCCTTCTGAGGGGCCTTGTATATCACATACATTCTGTGCCTGAGCTGTTCCCTTCCAAATACTTGGCATTTTAACCTTCTTTGGCTTGGTTTAAAAAAAACAACAGATATTTAGCATTAACAACTTGGTTCAGCAAAAATGACAGGTAGCTGGGCATTCCTGAGATAATATTCATTTGTTGATTCAACTTTCAACAAGGTATGGTAAATAGCATTTGCCTTAAACAAAAATTCAAAACATCTTCTAGTTGCTAACAGAGTTACAGAATAGATTATTAGGTGGTGAACTAGACAGTATAAATGTTTAGTGAAGCTAATGGCTTTAGAAAATTATTCAAATGGAAAAATGAGATGTATATGTATACATATATGTAGATGTATGGGTATATGTATATTTATACACAGTGATGCCTCTGAGAACCAGTTGAAAATAAATGTTAGATTCAGTAATTTAAATTTCCAATGAAAAAGGTGTTATTTACTGGTACATCTGAATTGTTATATTTCAGAAATGAGATGCTTGTATGCTTTAGAGGGCTTGCTAACATCCCTCAAAGTTTTTTTTTATTTTTTCCAAAAGATTTTACTTGGGAAGATGGCTAAGTAAATGTTCATATCTAATACCAGCTCATTTTCATTATTACAAAGCAGTAAGAAATATGCTAAATAAAGTTTTTTTTAAATGAGGGAAAAAGAAACGTGTTCACAAGTAAAACCTTAGAGCAAAGCCATAGTTCGGAATATTAGACAGAAAATATCAATACAGCAAAGCAGTCTGAAAAAGCAGAACAACAGGAAAAGGAAACAAAAAATTCAATACGCAACAACAAACAGGGTAATTTTTTTTTTCTAAATAGACAAACTGAAAGAACATGTGCAGTCTCTAAAAACTCAAACAACAAATCTAGAAGACAGAGCTCAGGGAAACAATTGTGGTTATCCTGGTTTCTCAGAATACCATATTTCACAAAACTATGCAAGAAAACTGCTCAAGAGTATCAGAAAAATAAGTGAAAAATCATGAGAACTGACTGGACACCATGTGAGAAAAACCAACTTAACTCACCCTGAAAAGAAGTAAAAAGTTACAAATTTCACTTACAGCAGTCAGGAGGAAGAGATTTGTATCATAAGCAAAACCAAGGCTACTCATCAATGACAAGAAATCAAAGAAAATGCTGGAATAAGAGACGACGTAAAGCAAAAGAACATATAGGACTTCTGGTTCAGATAATCAACAAGATGAAGGATGGGAAATTTTCTCTGATCCTCATGACCTTGAGAACTTCTTCAGAGTAAAAATTATGTACAGGGGCTAAGGCAATGTCACTTAGCTTCATGGTCTAGGCCATCAAGAACCCTTTCTAATCTTCTCTAAAGAATGTTCCCATTAGCATCCAACTCCCTCTATAACACTAAATCTCTCCATAGCTACTGATTCTTTCTATGCTGCCTACAAACAGATGCCAGCCGGTCCCTTTCTTTAAAAAAAAAAAAAAAAGCAACACTCACCAGATCCTACCATTGTTATTAGATGTCATCAATAACTCTGTCTTTTCTTAACTCTCTGAAATCAGGCTTGTAAACCCAGAGGATTTCAGTTCTGATTTTCCATATGAAGAAACTGAGGCACAGGAACTTAAATCATCATCATCATCATAATGATACATTCACATAGCACTTTAAAGTTTGCTAAGTACTCTAGGTATATCATCTCATCTGATCTTCACAATAGCCCTGTAAGGCATGTGCTATTATTAACTCAACTGAAACTGCTCTCTCCAAAGATACCAATGATCTCTAATTGCCATATCTATTGACCTTTCTTCAATCCTCAAGCCACAAAATCCACTAGCATATCTTTATATAAATAACAAAAAAGAGAAGGAAGAAGGATAAAGAGAAATGTCATTTAAAATAATAAAATGGGTGAGGGTGTGGTCCATAGTGCGGCAAACTCTGTTGAGGGCCTTGGAAGCAGCTACAACAGCAGCAGCTTCTGAAGCTCTTAACCCAGAGACAGTAAGGGAGCCAAAAAACTGGCCAAAAAGAGATTACAGGAGACCCTTTACTAGTACTGGGTACATCTGGAGCTGTTTGGCAACTCTGCTGCACATACACAGCTCTGGGTTGCAGTTCCAGGGTAGAAAAAAGCACTTCTGGGAACATGGGACCAAGGGCCCTGGTTTTAGTTCCAAGGCAGACAGGAGCAGTAACACATATGGTTGCAGGGGCCCTTCCTGGGTAAAGACCAGAGCACAGACCAGAAAAGCAGTGACCACACCTCTCCCTGGATCACACCACTTCAGAAGCACCAAAGACCTTGCAGACACCCAGAACTAGCTCTGAAAATAGCAGTACAAAAAAATGCCTGAAGCTGGAACAATGCCTTTTAACCTCACAGTGAGCATAGCCCAACTCTAACATAAAATTTAAAGTAAAGAAATAGGCTGGAAAAATGAGCAAACAACAACAACAACAAAAAAGAATTTGACCATAAAAAGCTATCAAGGTGGCAAGGAAGACCAAGACATAAACTCAGAAGAAGACAACAATGTGAAAACAGTCACAAAAATCCTCAAAGAAAAATGCTCACTGGGTCCCAGCCCAACAAGAATTTCTGAAAGGGTACAAAAAAGAAATAAGAGTGGGAGAGAAGAAATTGGGGGGGAAATAAGAGTGACGCAAGAGAATTAGCAGCTTGGTAAAAGAGGCACAAAAAATACTGAAGAAAATACCACAAAAAAACAGAATTGGCTTATTGGTAAAAGAAGCACAAAAATTCACTGAACAAAAGAACTCCTTAAAAAGCAGAATAGGCCAAATGGAAAAGGAGGTACAAATTCTCACCAAAGAAAATAATTCCTTAAAAATGAGAATTGGGCAAGTGGAAGTGACTCCATGAGACTTCAAGAAACAAAAGAAATCCAAAAGAATGAAAAATAGAAAAAAATGTGAAATACGTCATTGGAAAAAAATGATATGGAAAATACATCAAGGAGCGGTAATTTAAGAACTGTTGGACAACCTGAAGCCATGACCAAAAAAAAGAGCCTAGGCATCATATTTCAAGAAATTATCAAGGAAAACTGCTCTGATATCTTAGATCTAAACCAAGCCTGCACCACTTGTGGCCTGTAGGCCACTTATGGTCCTAGGGCTGCTTGCAGCATGCCAAAGGATTTGGGGGAATCCTGCGAAAAACGTAGAGGAAAATATCCTTTGTATATAGAGGAAATCCTTTGGCATGTGGCAGGCAGCCCAGGGGGCCATAAACAGCTCCAAGTTGTGCAGGCCTGATCTGGAGGGTAAAACAGAAGTTGAAAGAATCTACCAACCATCTCCTGAAAGAAATCCTAAAATGAAAACTCCCAGGAATATTATAGCCAAATTCCCGACTTCCTGGCTCAAGGAGAAAATAGTGGAAGCGATCAGAAAAAAACAATTCAAGTGTTGTGGAGCCATAACCAGCATCACACAAGATATAGTGGCTTCCATATTAAAGGAGAGGAGGGCTTGAATATGATATTCTGGAAGGCAAAGGAGCTAGTATTACAACCAAAAATAACCTTCCCAGTAAAAGTGACATAATCCTTCAGGGGTAAAAATGGACATTTAATGAAACATAGGACTTTCAAGGACTCCTGATGAAAAGATCAGAGTGAATGGAAAATATGAAAATCAAATACAAGAGTTAAGAGAAGCATGAAAAAGTAAACATGAAAGAGTAATCATAGGGGATTCCATCAAGTTAAACTGTTTACATTACCTCCTCAAATAAAAAAAAAATAAAATGCATAAGATATTAAGGGGCTAACTTACACACACAAAACTTTTATAAACACAAATATAAAACAAATACCACAGTAATAAAAGAAGACCTAAATAACTGCAGAAAAATTCAATGCTCATAGCTGGATCATATAAACACACTGAAAATGTTATTACCATTCCCCAGAATGAGATTTCTAATATATACATTGATGATATGGTTATTCTTAATCTAATACAAATAAAGTACTTCAATTTTCATAATTTGACTAAAGATGTGAAATCTATGGAAAAGTAGTAAAAGAATTAAAGGGAACTGGACATCATTTTCTATGATAAAACATCTAAAAGTAGATGCATGCCAAAGGAACGTGATATACCGCTACATGATACTTAAAAGGGAAAAACAACATTTCCTTGCCTTTCTTATGAACGTAAACCACCATGGGAATAAGTCCTGTTCCCTGGCTTCATAATGCGACAATTTAAAGGGAAACTCACCACCTCACAACGGTCACTTTGCTTACCCTTGCTTGCACTTTCAACATGCTCCAATTCATCTGGGAATTTAAGGATGTCCCGGTATTTTTCCTCACAAATTTCAGCAAGAAAATGTAACAGCGTGGTCTTTTGATCTGATGATTTAGTATCTCTGATCTGGAGGAAAATGGGAAACAAAGTCATTTGAATAATATCAACTCAAAGTCTGGGGTTATCTCTTAATTTGCTTCACCTATCATTTCAGTTCAACTCATTATTCATTTAAAATGAAGTTGTACAGAATAGTTTTCTAATGAGGACTAACATGAATTCTACATTATATTATTAAAATAAACACAGCTTCTAAAAGAGAAAGATAATGTACGTCAAAATTAGCCATCTTTGTATATTCTTTAGAACATCTTTGTATATTATATATACACATATATGTGTATATATACATATACAGACATATATGTACATATATATTCTTTTAAGCCCAATTCTGTAACTGCCTCTTATTTTATTTTTATCTGTTTGTTTTTGTTTTTGGTGATGCATTTGGGGTTAAGCGACTTGCCCAGGGTCACACAGCTAGTAAGTGTCAAGTGTCTGAGGCCAGATTTGAATTCAAGTCCCCCTGACTCCAAGGCCGGAGCTTTATCCACTGCGCCATCTAGCTGCCCCTACTGCCTCTTATTTTAAAACGATCCTAGTGTTCCACCCAAACCTCAAGATTCTGTGCTTTGGATCACAATGGCTTAAATCCATTTTTAGATTTTTAGATAGTGCTAAAGCTATGCTGATCCTTGACTATTATTAATTTAAATATCATAGGTAAATGAAAATAAAAGCAAGAATGCCCTCTCCACCTACAAAGGATCCCCCAGTTTCTACCTGAGTACTTCAAGGCATAGGGCAGTCACTCTATTGAGGGGTAAGTAGCCCATTTTGACACTGGTTTAGACAAGCTTTTACCTTTCAGAGATTTTTGTTTTTATTTTCCTTAAGCAATTTAGCTATGCCCCAATTCTGTATAAATACCCTTTGACTCTGAGATACCCCTATAAAGCCTATTCCTCAAAGAAAACAGAAAAAAAGACTCATATGTAATCTGTGTGTGTGTGTGTGAGAGAGAGAGAGAGAGAGAGGGAGAGAGGGAGAGAGAGAGAGAGAGAGAGAGAGAGAGAGAGAGAGAGAGAGGGAGAGGGAGAGGGAGAGAGAGAGGGAGAGAGATGCTCTTTTTGTAGTAGCAAAGAACCGGCAACTCCTGGGCTGCCCCCTTACTGTGGGAAGGCTAATAAAGTGCAGTATATCAATGTACCTGATTACACTAGGTTGGAAGAAACAATGAAATGGACAGTTTCAGGGGAAACTAGGAAAACCCGTATGAAATAATGCAGAGTGAAGTGAGCAGAACCCGGAGACCCATTTAAACAATGGCAACAACACCACAAAGTGAAAAACTTTGAAGGACTTGAGAAGCCTGATGAAGGCGATGGCCAGCTGTGCATCCAGAGGCCCAGCGATGAAGGGAGCAGTGGCATCCCAGCCCCTCCAGAGAGAGGTGATGACTCAGGGTACAGAGGGAGACACAGTTTTGGACATAGCTCATGCAAGAATTTGTTTTGCTTGAGTATACTTATTTGTTACAAGAGCTTGTTGTTTTTCTTTCTTTTTTTCTGCCAGCGGGAAGGCGGGAGGCAGGAGAGAGAGAGAGAAAACAAGTGTTAAGTGAAAAAGACAGAATGTTTGAAAAAGTTTTTCCTTCTACGAAAGCCCAATCTGCTTCTCTGCAAGTTCTACTGCCTGCACTTCGTTCTTGCCTCTGTGGCCAAGCAGGACGACCATATGAGAGCCTTTCAAATACTTGAAGAGAGCTAAGATGTCTCCCCAAACCTCTTAGGTCTCCAGGCAAAACATCTGCAATGCTGATTTACACGTGTGCCTTGGCTACAGAATCCAAAGTATAAGGAATGCTTTACTCCCCCACTCATCTCTAATATAATAATTACCCAAAAAATTGCCACAAGGTTATCACATGTGGAATTGTAAAAAGCTTCTAATGTCAAACACACAAACACACGCATACGAGCTGTCTTTGGTCTAAATAGCTGGTGTTTTCTTTGATATGACATTCATACTAAACTAAGCTGCAAATGAAATCAAGAATTTACTTAGTGAAGATACAGAAATATGGCATCAAGTAGCTAGTTTTCTCATTCCGTTGGGTTCTTCCAGTTGGATATTTTATTCTATAACCCAGAAATGAAAGGCTTGTCCACTGATGTTCATATACAGATTTATCCAACACAGAAAAAAATGAGCACAGGTCGTAAATAGGCTTACAGAAGTTATATAAAAGAGGGGGGCTCTCTCTCTGAAAGAAATCCAATCCCTCCTGTTTGGATGACTAAAGAAAAAAGGCTTATCTCAATTAATAAATCAAGCCTGTACTTAGGACTTTCTTTTTAACAGCTTCCCCTCAGTTTCTTAAAGTTCTGATTCACTTGCAAAATTTAAAATCTTCCCCCAAGACCAGGAAAATAAAAAGAAAAATTAGTCTTAATGGGAGACAGAAAATGTCACTTATGGCAAAGTTGTACTAGTTCAATTCACAATTAGCTTTTCTGGGGGCACTTTAAACACAGCGGCTTTCTCTTTCAAAATAAAATCTTTAATATTCAATGTGTTATCATGCTGATCTACCAAACACTTCTATGACAACAGAAATGAACGAAATCCCTGGGGGCAATGTGACTTCAGTAAAACTCTCTGCTTTATAGGAACCAGTGGGAAGTGCATTTAGAGTGAGTGGCCTCAGAACTGTATTATGGTTTTGTCTAGCATTAGCGCAGTCCGCACAATTTCCAATGCTAGGTTAAGCATTGAAAAATATAATAACATGGGCATTTTACTTTTTTCTCAAAAATTACTTTAAAATTTTACTAAAAGTGCTAGTCGCTGTCTAAAAGTCTAGCATAACATCCTGCTGCAGAAAAACATTATTAACTGTCCATCTGGTAGGCAAACTGTGCTCTGTACTTGTTTTTAAGAAAGAAAAGAAAAAGAAAATTCTTCTTCTATAGGAAGCCTATGGGGGCTACAGAATGTGTATCGTTCACATAATGACATACAAGATGGACGACCCACAAAGATAGTCGCTCAGTACATAAATCTTGGATGGACACTGAGCATAGACAACGAGCTGAGTCCAGAACTGAGCAGGGGAGGAAGGCAGGCTAAACTGCATTTAGGAATCTATGAAAGCCTTTTAATAAGCCCAAGCTTCCTCCTGCAAGAGAGGCCCATATTTTTCTTAACAATACATGTACTGCTGTATAGCTATGAGTCATAGAATACAGCCTCCTCCAAATAAAGCTATGGTTCACCCAAAAGGTGACAAAGAGCCCCATGGTGGATGAGGGGAGGATTCTGTGACTAAAGCAGGGTAAAGGATGGCATTGTAGCAGTGCAAGATTGATCCAAAGGAGGTCAGCTAGTCATATATAAAATGCAAGGGCTAATGGAGGCCCCACTGGTATCCAGGAAATGTGAAGTGATAGAAAGGAAGGTGCCCAGAATGTTGGAGCAGAAGCTATAGAAGTGTTATGGGAAGCGATGGACAAAAGTTACAGATAAAGAGTAGACAAGGATGGCTTACAATCCGCACCACTCACAGGGGCACACATATTGATGCAACCAGAGATCTGTCAAAGTATATGAATAACACCACATTAATACTGGGATTTATGGCTCATAAAAAGCTTTCTTCATAAATATGTAGCTCAAATACCATTATTCCTAGCCTCTACTATTCTTTCCACTACACCACACGGCCATAATTCATTACGAGAAGTAACATTTTCAAAGCAAAATTAAAGTCCAAATCAACTTTAGATTGATAGTTCAAAAGCTTCTGGGTTGGAAGAGAACTCTAAGACTTTCTGGCAGGGTGACATCATCTCATTAATGACTCCTCTTTATGTCTGATCATTCAATCAGTCAAATAGTCAACAAGCATTTACTGTTTTCCAGGTGCCAGGCACTGTGCTAAGTCTTGGGGATACAAAGACCAAACAGCCCCTGTCCTCAGGGGCTTGACTTACATTCAAGTCATGTCAACAAGCTAGAGCACAGAGAGGCATAAGAACACCAGAAAGGGAGGTGGGGGGGGCCTGGGGGTAGGATAGAAAGGCCTCTAAAAGACAAATAGAGGATTTCATATTGGATCCTGGAAGTAAGAGGGACCCACCCGATGGAGCTTACTGAATCCAGAAGTGACGTGGTCAGACCAGCACCTGAGCAAAATCACTTTGACAGCAGATTGAAGGATAGAGTCCTCCTACTCATGTAGATTGGCAGCTTCTCTGCAAGTTATAATCTTTGAGAGATGTGCATAGAGCACTGAGAGGTTAAGTGACTTCCCCAGGGTCGCACAAATAATAGATGTCAGATGAAGGATCAAACTGACATCTTATGTCACGAGGATGAGTCGAGTTTAGGCTTTTGTGACTCGGAGTTCAACTCTCTGTCCACTCTACCATGCCGCCTTTCCACATATAAACTCATAGACATGTATAAGTACATACAGACTACACAGCAAATGAATGCAAGATAGTTTGGAAAAGAAGGGAAGGTGCTAGCTCCTGGGGATACGGAAGCTGAGTCCTGAAGAAAATCACAGATTTTAAGAGGCTGTCGTTTAGATAGCACTGCAGGCACTGGGCACAGCCAAGTGCAGAGTGGAGCACAGGAGATAGAATGTCCTGTGTCAAGAAAAACAGGTAGGCCAGCATGGATGGTATGCAGAATATGTGAAGGGCAGCAAAGCGTAAGGAATGTGTACGCAGAATGTGTAAGGACAATTAGGTGGCACAGTGGATAGAGCGCCAGGCGTGGAGGCAGGAAGACTCGAGTCGAAATCTGGCCTCAGACACTTACTGGCTATGTGACCCTGGGCAAGTCACTGACCCCTGTTTGCCTCAGTCTCTTCATCTGTAAAATGAGGGAGAGAAGGAAATGGCAAAGCATTCCAATATCTCTCCCAAGAAAATCCCAAATGGGGTCACAAAGAGTCACACATGTGAAAACGAATCAACAACAACATGTAATGAAACAGGAAAGATAGGAAGGGGTCACACTGTGAAGAGCTTTATTTAAATGTAAGACAGAGG